GGTGACATCTATGGCGAACAATTAAAATCTTTCTCATCTTAAAAAAGAATAAGACAAAATAACATACATGAGAATGATGGTGGTTTAGAGAATCTAAGCAACCTTGATAAATCCTAGGCCTGTGAAATACACAGCAGGAAACCACTAAAAGTTCCAATTTTTTGATTAGGGAATAAACTATTTGACTGGATTCCAGTGATGCCCATTTTGTGGACAAACAACTTGCATTGATCAAGATAATGCGCAAATATCATGGTGCATAAATAATACTACAAAATAGGACATGGAACTCACAAACAGAATGGGAGAAAGGGAATGGGAAATATATTCTTAACTGGAAAAGCTTTCCTACTCATTCCCTCCACATCTTGGAAGTCGGTAACCTCAATGTATCATTAAGGATTCGAATAACCACCTTCAGGGTCATTAATATCATTTATTCTACTAAAAGAGATATTGTTAGCTAAAAGTTCAAAAACTGAAATCAGATGCACTCAGAACCTATGGCCATGCTATGTAATAACATTATATTCATACATGCAGGAAACTCTAGTCATTCAAACAGTGAAGGGGACAATCATTTATCCAATCTCTTCATCTTCATGTACCCATAGTCCTTTACATACAAAACCCAAGGGCCCCATAATGGTAGAGAATTATTCCCTCTCTTTTTTTTTTTTTTGGAGAAAATGGTCAACTAGAATTATTCCCTCTTTCCTTAGACCATTTCATTCTGATGAAATCAAACAAGTTCATTTGCCTCCGAGGAAATGAATGAGATCACTCTCGTTATCATGGGTATATACACACGCAGAATAGCCGAAGCATGAAATACTAGCTGTATACAGAACACCATAAATTATGGTGACATTTGGCAGTGGCTCCATATGTACAACCTCCCTGCGTTGTGATTACTGGCCTCTAGGCATGTGTATGTATATTTCTCAATCTATTCATCCAGCTATTTCATCTATCTTCAATGTGTGCAAGTATGCATGTGAATCATCAAATTGTTTTCTCACTCGATCAAAATGTATCTTTCAAATCTCTGTCACAGCTCAGGTTTGAATACCCGTTTGTTCCATTTCCCATGCATTCTATGGAAAAAAACAAACTGTAAATAATAATAAGCCACTCCAATATTCAAATCAGTAGGATTGACTCTACTAAATTCTGGTTTTCGGCCAGGATAACAGCTGGACATGCCTAGGATCAGTTCGACAAAAACCAGGTCACAGCAACCAGTTTGATATGGGTTAACAATAATGACAATGCCACCACTCCAACAAAAGACATGACAGTGATGACTACGTAAGGTGAACTACAAAAAGGAGAAAGAATTGCCAATATTCCAGGCAAGAGAACCACAGAAAGGAATCTTGAGTCACTCCTAGCCAAGCTGATTAACCAGACACCTCATATGAGTTGTCCTTGAGCCTTGAGCTACACAGTTACAGAGCAACACAATTACAACAACCATCTGTGGAAAAGCTCATGAAAACTTCACAATCTCCTAGAAAAAGAAAATCAGAAGGTACCACCACAAAAGATGATTCAAGAACTCTAAAACAATACCAGGAGTAAGCTCTTACAAGCAAATAGACCCTGGGATTAAACATGGTGCGAAGATGCCTATATACAGAGAGGAATACAGGAATGTATACAGGGAGCGAGGATGACCAAGATATGCATATGAATATCGTATCAATATCCTATCAAAATCAATGAATACACACACACATGCACACGCACGACTATATACATATATATGTGCATGAGTGCGTGCATGTGTAATGCCATGTATGATTCATAAATATAGGCATTTCACACAGTTATAATACCATTTATTCACCCAAAGAAATAAATATCTATGCCATATGAAAATGCATAAAAATTTTTATTCATGCTATATATTTACCTTTCTTTTATTTTATATTTACTAGTACCCTAAGACTAGTAGGTGTCAGTATTGGTGTCATATAGTGCCCATACCAGCACTTTTGGCAAATACAAGTACGTGGCCATCAGAGACCCGTAGAAACCATCCATCAAACTTTCTATCAAACAGCATTATTTTTTATAAAGTTTGAAGAGGACAGTTTTACGCATCGGCCTTTCGATTGGAGGACAGAACCTCAAATCCTCCCAATAAATAAGGAGCAACTCCTCAAGGTAATATGACTTGAAATGCTATATGTCCTAGGATACTCGAGCAGTTACTTGCACATCTACAGTAACAGGTGTCTAATGTATAATGAACTCAAAATATGGTCTATGATTAGAACTTCATATTCCTTCAAGAGCTTCAGCGAATGTCATTTTCAAGCAGGAATAGGAGTACAGGAGCCCAAAATCCCCACGTCAGAATTACAAATAATCGATCGTTCTCAAGGTCTAGAAGTACAGTCAAGTTCCAATATTTACCGAGTAAAGCATAAACCAATTTCTTAGTTAAGAGATTCATTTCAAGAGAAAAGCATATCATGGTACAAACAAAGTGCATGGTAAAAGGTATAATACATAATATCATACCGTAATACAAATGGAATACTAAGATTAGCAGGAACAGTGTCGCCAAATAATGCGGCTTCTTCAGCCATCTTCAATAGAACTCTTCGTAAAATATCCCCTAAGTACATTCCCGAAATTATCTTCTCAAATATCTGTTGCAATAAACTGTCAAGTCTTCTTCGGTTTTATATTAAGAAAAACAGAGCATCAATTTATATAATATTAAGCAACACAATGAAGATAATGCTGGGACAATTTAACTCCAAAGCATTAGTTTCCATCTACCTGCTCACCAGGATTCAAACTCTCAGAATCCAATGCATGATCATATTCTGTAACTGGAAGATGTGAAGACCGAAAATTTCCCCACTCCATGTTGATAACCTGCAGGAGACCACTGCATATGATTCAGCATTTGTAAATTACAAAGAACTACTTTATGCCTTTCTATTCCTAGCCATCACAGATATCAAAAACATAACTTAGGAGCACAAGGAGGGGTAGGTGACGGCCATTGCAAAATCAGTCTAATGTCTACAGTTTGCCTAAGATAATAAGAAGAGATGGTTTTAGGAGAATATCTCATGTCCAGGTCTTTGATAACTAAATGACAGAGTAGGATCCTTAAAGAATATAAAAACATCGTAACTCAAGTCAAATTAGGAGAAAAAGATTCTAATGGTTGTCCAGAGTTGCTGACCATTTCTCCAGACTTTGGTAGAAGGCCATGCCATTTGGGAATCGCATTTGCACGCTCCACATAAGCAGCATTAGTTCCAGTACCCAAAATAACAGCAACTGCAACATCAGGGTCGTAGTATCGACCCCCAGCTAAGGTTCCAATGGTATCATTAACCTGCACAACATCTGAAGCTATAAAATATTGAAGTACATGCAGATTTTCAAGGTGAACCTGGACGAATCAGGCCCAAAGATAATTCAATGAACTGATAATGATCACAAGAGAACTGGAATTCCCTCAAAAATAATAAGAAATGTCAGCAATAAACTAATATGACTTTACCAGTGCTACTACACGCATATCCAAGTTCTGTCTCTCCATAGCCTCAGTTAACTCTGCCACCACATCTCTTCCCACCTGGCTTCATGAAACAGAGTAGCTATTATCAAAACATCCCAGAAGCCTTACCATTAATTACTCTGGAAATGGCAACTTCTTCATATAAGCCATAACATAACACTTTGATCATCAAGTTTAAAGAAGGAAGTACATCTGTAAATCATGTATAAAGAAAGAAGTAAATCATGTATAAAGAAAGAAGTAAATCATGTTTAAAGAAGGAAGCATATTGTGCATAGAAAAAGAGGAGAAAATGTAGTATGTAGTATCCATAGCCACAAAATCACAAATCACCACATGAAACAGAATCCCAAAATGCAAAAGGACAATAATCCAAGGTTGACATGGTTCTCGGTTGCTCAAAAGTAATAACCCAAGGTTGACATTTAATACAAAAAATACAAGAAGCTGCGTTATTTACTGCATTAGTGGCCCAGGTTTTTACAATTATTGGGAAAAACAGAAAAGGCATGACAAGTATCCTCAAATATCAAAATGAAAAATTAGAGAAAAATGAGATGGATGAAGCAATTTGATGACTAGGGAAATGCTAGTTGCCCATGCAAGGACATGATAGCTTCTTCAGTGTAACCACTTCGAGGATTTTCAGTAAAACAGTTTTAGAAGAACCAATATTAACAGGTAAAACTAAGTCCATAAGACTGAAAGATATCTCCCAGCCCTGTTATCAAAAGCAGCCCAGGAGATACCTAATAGAGTGCCCATGCATTAGTGGCTACGCTTATTTAGACCTAGGATCCTAGCCACCGCCTGATGATTTTTTTTTTTGCAAAAATATCTCCATAGACCCTATTTTTAGGTTTCATTTCTCCGTAGACCTAAAGTTTTAAAACCTATATGACCCCATAAAAACTCTATCTTTTATCTTCTAACTCCCTAAATCCACTTTAACTATATTAACTCCATATTTTTTGCCTAAACAAATTAAAAAATACCTCCTTTTCTAAACCCCCTCTCTCTCTTCACGGGTTTCTCTCTCCCAAGTCTCCTAAACAGCAGCTCTGTGTTTTCGAGGTTTGGAGTTTTGAAAAGAAACCTGTGGTTCTGAAGCTTATGGGGCTAGAAGAACTAGTTTCAGGGGAAAATGCTAGAGGCCTAGGCATGCGATTGGGGCCTTCGACGGTGATAAAAGATTCGTCAATGGGAGAAAAGAGAACTTTTGCAGAGTCCCTCTCTACATAACCCGCCTGTTGTCCTCTCATGTTGAGGACTTTAAGGGCGTTTGGGTCATATGGGTTGAGGGGTTCTCTCACTAAACCCACCATTTCTCTGCCATTAATAGTGCCCGTGTAATGTTTCAGGCCCACTATGTTAACTATGACAAAACCTACCATGAAAGTTTCAGAGGTGGAGGCCATGCTTTCTAAGCCGTTCTCTTCGTCACAATCCCCCATTAACAGAGAACGTTTTAACAAGAAAACTAGAGAGAGAGAGAGAGTGGGAAAGGGAGGGAGGGGTTCAAAAACTAGAGAGAGGGAGGCAATATAACCCAGAAAAAGAAGGGGAAAAGGGGTGGGCTAAAACCCCGAGAGAGAGAGAGAGGGGAGACTGCAAAAGGCAGAGAGAGAGAGAGAAGAACACTGTAAAAAGGCAGAGAAATCTAAAATTTCTCAATCCTTTCAAGCAAAAAACATAAAAAATTTCGCTTCTTGGCTGCTGTTATTGTATGAGCAGCTGATAGTTCCTCCATTGATAATGCAGTCATGGGGAGAGAAAGAATGAAGGAAAATACGGAGAAAGAGAGAGAGAGAAGGGGTTTGGGGATAGTGGAGAGAGAGAGAGATAGAGAGAAGTTTGGAGAATATGAAGAGAGAGAAGGATAGGGTTTAAAGAGATTCATATTTGTTTGGGCTAAAAAATAGATTTAAAGTGGGTAAAAGTTAGTCCGGGGGTTTAGATGATGGGTTTTAAAACCTTGGGTTTATTAAGAAATGAAACTTAAAAAAGGGGAGTATGGAGATATTTTCCCCCTTTTTTTTTTCTCCCCCAAAGTCAAGCCTAATGCAAGAAGACATTGAAATCTAGTTGTCTCCGAGAGACACACAAATGACGACACACGTGATAGGGGTGAGAGATATAAGAATTGAGGAAAAAAAAAGAAATTAGGAGGGACATTTGGCTCATGTTGGTGGTGGATAAGGGCCTACAGAGAGATCCTAACAGTGGCACCCAATACAAGCCAGCATATTTGCTGATGGAAATATCAAGAAAGTCCATATTTCTTGGGATCAGGTTAATTTAAGCCATATTTCTTGGGATCAGGTTAATTTAAGCCATATTTTTGGCTTAAATGGTAACAGTCGCACTATTTCTTGGGATCAGTGGAAATATCCAGAAAGTCCATATTTCTTAAATGGTAACAGTGGCACTATTTCTTGGGATCAGGTTATTTACCTGAAAAATGGACTTTACCTAGTGTTATCCCACCTAAACCGATCCAAAATCAAGAAATTAGTCAAATAACCCAATATGCTGAGGGAAAGGTGGAAATTCAATTTTCTCCTCTTCTCGGGACTTTTCTTGACCAAACTAAAATTCCTAGGCAACCATCAAGGATGTCGTTCTGTTCTGAACCACCAAGAACTACTGATCCACCAAGGATTTCTTTTTCCTCTGTTCCACAAACAGAAAATGAAAAAGAAAAAAATAATGGAAAAGGCGTGGTAATTGAAGGACTAGATCAGTTGAAAAACCAGCAAGTTGTTCAACCTACTTATAAGGTAGAAAACAATGATAAGGATTCTGATGGATCCTAAGAACCAACTTTCTCTGATATGGGATATAGTTCCAACATTCCTTAAGGTCATGTTAATATGCTTAAAATTGAAGAGTTTAAAATCATTTATAAGCTCCTCAGACAAGACTTCTACTCTGAAGAAAATAAAGAAATAAGAGAATGGTTTCTTAATCATAGCAAACCTCTAAAGAAATTTCTTGATGATGAAATTTCTCTAAAATCAAGAGTTATAATTATTATGACTACTTAATAACTCTAAAATCAAGAGTTATTAGAGTAGTTTCTGAAATATCTGGGTTTGAGAGGATCAAATCCCCAATCTTTATAAGTCAAGACTTTTTTAATCCTCATTTTAGAATAAGCGATAATATCATGTCCTCTATATCTTCGGACAACTTCAATAGATCCTGTTTCTTTAAGAATCGTTTCGTAAAACATCTGAGATTTAAATTCATCTCTGGGATGCATATGGTTAACTAAATAAATCTTTGCAATTTCTTCTAGATTAAGATGAAGATGGATGCTATCAATTGGCAAAATTGGAAGATATGATTTTTCCCAATATTCTGAATTTTCAGTAGCCTGAATTAAGTATTCAGATGAATTGGGACTATTTTCTCTGATATTGACCTGACTTGAGGTCTCACCGTGGGATTTTGCTTGTGGTTTTCCCCTGGATGCCCTGCAGAAATTCTTGTGTTAAGAAATCTGGTAGAGAATTAGTGTTTCCTGAAATGTGGTGTATATCAAAATCAAAAGTGGCTAGAATAGCCTGCCATCTGGCAAATATTTGTTTTGAAACTAAGATTTTGACATCTTTTTCTATTACATCTTTGGCTCCTTTACAATCTGTTCTTATTAAGAATTTTTGGTTAAATATATCACCTTCAAATTTTAAAACACAGCAAACAATAGAGAGAATTTCTTTTTTTATTGTAGAATAATTTTTTTGGGTATCATTCTATGTTTTGGACATAAACCTTACTAATTGTTCTCTTTTTGAATCTGGAATTTTTTGTTTTAAAATTCTTCCAAATCCTATTTCAGAGGCATCAGTTTGTATTTTAATCAAGATGAGGAATTGCTAAACATGGTAATTCTTTTGCTTTTATTTTGATTTTTCGAACAGCTAGAGTATGTTCTTCCCCCCATTTTGGGAAATTCTTTTTCAAACGATCATAAAGAATAGCACAATCTTTTGCAAGATTTTTGTAGAACTCGGCAATGTAATTAAGGCTACCCAAAAATCGTTGAAGTTGAGTTTTGTCTTTGATTTCATCAGGGAAATATTGAGTAAAACTTATGGCTCAATCGATAAAAATAATATATTGATTGTGGATATTGTGTCCTAAGAATCGAATTTTGGTTTGAAATAATTGGATTTTCTTTCCGGACAGAACCAGTCAAGCGCCTTTTATTGCCTGCAAAGAGATCGTTAGATGCTTCCAGTGCTGTTCTATAGAATTAGAATAAACTAATACATAATCAATGTAGACTATCATGAATTGAGTATATGGTGTAAAAATATCATTTATGATGTGCTGGAATTCAGAAGGGGCATTTTTTAAGCCGAATGACATTACATTCCATTCATAATGTCCAAAAAGTACGCTAAAGGTAGTTTTATATCTGTCTTTTTCTGAAATTTGAATTTGCCAGAATCCTGATTTCATATCAAACTTAGAATATGTGTGTTTCGAAAAGTCGATTAAGCAAATCCCTTTTATTTGGAATTGGGTACCTTATCCATCTAAGAGCTTTGTTCAACGGCTTGTAATTAATAACAAGCCTAGGCACTCCTATTTCTTTTTCTGAAGCCTTTTCGACATAAAAGGCTGGATAGCTCAATGGGGGGGGTGAAGTCCTGATTAATTTTTTGTCAAGAAGGTCTTGTATCTCCCTTTTGCAGATTTTTAAAAGTCTACTATTCATTTGAATAGGTCGAGAGTTAGTGGGAATAAATTTTTCATTAAAATCAGGCTCATAAGGTAACTCAAAAATGTGTTTTTTTCTTTCCCAAAAAGCATTTGGAATATCTGCACGAACTTCTTTTCCAAGCTTATTTTTAAACTGAATAATTTTTTCTTGAGTTATGAGTTCATTAATTTTCTCTTTTATTTGCCGAGTTACAATTTCTTGTTTGAGTGTATTGAGCAGAGATTCTTTGTTTTTCTTTAACACCATAGTCTGATTAATTTCTTTTAGTTTCGGTTTTTCAATAAATTCAAACTTAACTTTATGTCCCTGAATTTCTAACTCT